CGTTCACAGAGACAGACGAGGCCGAGCACAAACTCGTCATACTGGTCAAAGACAATGGCAACGTGTCCCTGTCAGCTACAGCTACTGTGCTCGTGAAAGTGGTGGAGCCCAGAGAGGCTTTTGCAGCTTCTGACGTTAAGAGCTCCTCTAAAGACTCTGAGGACACTAACGTGACTTTTTACCTGATGATAACTCTGGCCTCGGTCTCAGCTCTGTTCATTCTCAGTATCATTGTGCTGATTGCAATGCAGTGCTCCAAGTCCAGCACTGACTACACCTCCAAGTACTTACAGGACACAAACTATGACGGGACTCTGTGCCACAGCATCCAGTACAGATCTGGAGACAAGCGCTACATGTTAGTTGGACCCAGAATGAGCGTAGGATCCACTATAGTCCCAGGGAGCCAAGCCAACACACTGGTGCTGCCTGACAGGAGGAGGCCCTCTGAAGAGGTAAGAGATTAATTCAAAACTGTTTCTCTGCCAGGGCGATTAAGCCCCCAGTTTCAGCCAGATGTATTAGATGACACGGTGAAATAATTTGCATTTTAAAGAGCCACATTTTGACTATTTCAAACGTTTGCCCTTTGAATTATAATGATAGTAATTAATGAATACACTTAATTAATATTTTTATAATTGCAACATACTTTTAACACGCTGATAGTTGATTTAAGACGCATAATCTTGTCTGATTTTACAATCTCCATAAAAATTATTCTATTAATTTTAATTCAGTATTTTACAGCACAGCACATACTACTGACTTTGACACACATGTATTAAGAAAGATTTAAGAATTCACATTTGTCCCTGTTTTAATTTATTTTATTTTATTTTTTATTTATTTTTTGTTCATTAAAGGCTTACGCCCTTATTAGACACATGAGTAGATAGATCCGGGATAAACTTGCCTATTTATCCCGGATCTATCCTATGCACCAAAATGGAGCTTTTGACTAAGTATTTTAAAGCATGACATATGATTTATTATGTCTAGATTGTTATTTTAGATAACATTATTAAGACAGTCTTGAAAAATATCCACCGACCTTCTTGAATTTCAGTGATGCCTCTGTACCTGGTGCTGAAGCAGTGAAAGTAGTGTTGGGTTAAGAAATCCAGTTTCTCAAATGTATATACCTATTCTGTGCACAATATGTGGTGTAAATATGTTTTATTTTTTGTAGAGCCCATGTAAAAATGTAATATGACGCGATCATGCAATTTTCTTAAGTTGTAAGTGTGACCACACGATGGCACTAACCCTCAGAGAAACCTCCGTCCATTTTTGTCCCTCCTCTCACAGATTCTTTTGTCTCTTCTTGACTGAAGCGTTGTAGTTATTTATCTGTTCAGTTACTCTGGATTATTGGGTGCCTTAGTGACTACAAATAAAGAACAATAGAAACTAAAAGATTTGTTGATGAGGAAGATGAAGAAGTCATTTGTAGTGGGACAATGTTCGTGGATCGTTTTGTGCACATCTCTTCTGCTGTTTTTTGGACAGTGCGCTTTGGCTCAGATCAGATATTCTGTTCCGGAGGAGGTCAAAGACGGGACTGTGGTTGGAAATGTCGCAAAGGATCTTGGTCTTGATGTTTCCTCTTTGGGTGAGAGACGATTCCGTGTTGTTTCTGAAACGACTGAGGCTATATTTGCTGTAAACGCTGATAATGGCGCTTTGTACGTCCACGGGCGCATTGACAGAGAGCAGCTGTGTCAGGGCAGCGGTACGTGTCTGATGGAGCTGAAGGTTCTGGTGGAAAACCCTTTGGAAGTTCACTATGTGGTTGTAGAAATCACCGATGTAAACGATCATGCTCCGAGATTTCCCAAAATTAACCAGACGTTTGAAATTGGAGAGCACACTTTGCCAGGGAAAAGATTTCAGCTACACTCCGCTTATGATCCGGACGCAGGAACAAATTCTATCCGCACGTACACTTTGTCTGCAAATGAACATTTTGACATTAATATTCGTGAAATTGATGGTGAGAAAACTCCATTCTTGGTTTTAAAAAAAGCACTAGACAGGGAAGCAGATAGCCACCACTCTCTTGTAGTGACAGCATCTGATGGAGGTAAACCTAAAAAATCAGGGACACTGAACGTTTCTGTAATTGTTCTGGACAGTAACGACAACAGGCCAGTTTTCAGCCAAGATGTATTTGAAATTACAGTCAAAGAAAATGTTCCTGTTGGAACTTTAATATTTCGACTTAATGCTTCCGACATCGATGAAGGTATAAATGGGGAAATTGATTACAGATTTATGACAACAGTAAAGCAACATATACATGATATATTTGATTTGGACATAACAACGGGGGAAATAAAAGTGAAGAAAACATTAGATTATGAGATTAGGGATACATACGCACTTGAAATCGAAGCGTCAGATAATGGTACCCCTCCATCAACAGGTGAATGTAGAGTTATTATAAAAATCATAGATGTAAATGATAATTCACCTGAAATAGACGTGACTTCTCTGTCAAACACAGTGTCTGAAGACTCCAAACCAGGGACAGTAGTTTCTCTCATTCGCGTCAAGACAAAGACTCTGGTGTCAATGGTAAAATCATCGCTCACATAACAAACAACGTGCCTTTTGAACTCAAACCCTCGTATAAAGAAAACACATATTCAGTTGTCACTAAGGATTTCCTGGACAGGGAGGAGGTGTCACATTATGACATAACTATAAAAGCCACTGACTGTGGGGAGCCTCCTTTATCCTCCACTAAAACTCTGAGTATTCAGATATTAGATGTAAACGACAACAGTCCACAGTTTGAACAAAATCCTTTGTACTTTTATATTGTAGAAAATAACGTGGCAGGGACGTCACTGTTCTCTGTAACTGCATCAGACAAAGACAAGAATGAAAACGCAGATATTTCCTACAGCATTGCGCGTGCAGGACAGGAGAAGGACGTGACGCTCTTTTTAAACGTGAACGCGGAAAATGGTCAAATCACTGCTCTGAAAAGCTTTGACTTTGAGACATTAAAGTCTTTCCAGTTTCAAGTCGTGGCCTCAGACTCTGGGACTCCGTCACTGAGCAGCAACGCGACAGTGCACGTGTTCATCCTGGATCAGAACGACAACGCTCCAGTCATTCTGTATCCAGTCAGGTCTAATGGTTCTGCTGAAGGAGTGGAGGAGATCCCCCGCAATGTGAACGCGGGACACTTGGTGACTAAAGTCAGGGCCTATGACTCTGATATCGGATATAACGGCTGGCTGCTGTTTTCACTGCAGGAAGTGACTGACCACAGTCTGTTTGGGTTGGACCGCTACACAGGACAGATCAGGACACTTCGCTCGTTCACAGAGACAGACGAGGCCGAGCACAAACTCGTCATACTGGTCAAAGACAATGGCAACGTGTCCCTGTCAGCTACAGCTACTGTGCTCGTGAAAGTGGTGGAGCCCAGAGAGGCTTTTGCAGCTTCTGACGTTAAGAGCTCCTCTAAAGACTCTGAGGACACTAACGTGACTTTTTACCTGATGATAACTCTGGCCTCGGTCTCAGCTCTGTTCATTCTCAGTATCATTGTGCTGATTGCAATGCAGTGCTCCAAGTCCAGCACTGACTACACCTCCAAGTACTTACAGGACACAAACTATGACGGGACTCTGTGCCACAGCATCCAGTACAGATCTGGAGACAAGCGCTACATGTTAGTTGGACCCAGAATGAGCGTAGGATCCACTATAGTCCCAGGGAGCCAAGCCAACACACTGGTGCTGCCTGACAGGAGGAGGCCCTCTGAGGAGGTAAGATCACAAAGTAACGACTCTTGGTTTTAACACATTAAAAAGTTTAAAAATATGAATAATCATTTATATTTTAGTATGGTGAACATGTTTGTAGTTGCTTCACTGTCCATTCTAATAATAAAAAGTACATGCTCTTTGCATCCTCAAGTTTAATATTTTACATATTATTCACTGTATACTTAGGGATAACCCCTAATAACTGGTGGAGAAGGAAAAAATAAGGTATTCAAAATCAGTGATCTCAAGAGGTCAGATTTTGTTTTCCCAAGTCAAATCGTCTGCAGTATTAAGTGGATAGAGTGGGTACTGATGTGTTTAGTTATGGTGCTTTTTTGCAGTGCAGTTAACATACTATTGTTGTCTATGGCACCGACCTATTAAATGTTAAATTACATTTTCCCCCATAAAGTTATGTCCCAAATAACATTTCTTTATTGCGATTACATTTTGAAATACAGTTTTTAGTTTTAAACCATCCGAACTTTTGAATCAAATGTGTAAGTATTAAAAAGAAACAAACGAAACCTGTAAAAAGCACATTATTTTGTCTACATTTCTTTATGGAATTGTTACGCGTGCGTTTGATCGTAAATCTAACCGCTGTCCGTGGTGCTCAAATATTTACCTTTTTTTTTTTTAAGACTTTATATTTGAAATGGGGGATGTTTTACAGTCTCTTCCTCTTGCCATTGTGTATCACAGAATACCTGGCTTCTCTCATATCAGGGGAAGAAGCTGACTTCAAATTTTGCAGTGTGAAAATATTTTGACAGCGATTATTCAGTGTATCTTTTGGACAGCGCGGACTTAAGTTCATAGCTAATAAAGCGTAGACTCTACTGGAGAAGACACCGTTCTAGGCAACACACTAAGACAGCCATAACAGCCCCTGCAAAAAGAAGGTTTTTGTTTAAAATCCAGTTCTCACGTGTGATATCAGTGAACAATGCATAGTCTGTTTCAAAGATAATACAGTACACGGTAAGTGGATAAATGGTTAATGGATTCTCTGTTTCATCTGGACATGTATGCTCTGTTTCACCACATGGTGACACTATTTCACCTAAATTTTCCAGCGCCACATCGTCCCTCTTTTTTCAAATCCTTTTGTTTCAGTTTGACTTGAGTGTACATAGTGGTCGTTTGTCCAGAACGGTACTTTGGATTATTTGGAGTTTGAGGGGTTTCAAAAACTATCATCACAGATAAATGGATTTGTGGACAGTGGTGGAGATGAAGAAGCCATTTGTTCAAAGAAAATATTCGTGGATTACTTTGAGTTTGGCTGGTCTACTGTTTTTTGGGCAGTGCGCTTTGGCTCAGATCAGATATTCTGTTCCGGAGGAGGTGAAGGACGGGACTGTTGTTGGAAATGTTGCAAAGGATCTTGGTCTTGATGTTGCATCGTTGGGTGAGAGACGGTTCCGTGTTGTTTCTGAAACGACTGAGGCTATATTTGCTGTAAACGCTGATAATGGCGCTTTGTACGTCCACGGGCGCATTGACAGAGAGCAGCTGTGTCAGGGCAGCGGTACGTGTCTGATGGAGCTGAAGGTTCTGGTGGAAAACCCTTTGGAAGTTCACTATGTGGTTGTAGAAATTACTGATGTAAATGACCACTCGCCAAGATTTCCTAAAACAAATCAAACGTTTGAAATTGGAGAGCACACTTTGCCAGGGAAAAGACTTCAGCTACACCCTGCCCACGATCCCGACGCAGGAACAAATTCGATCCGCACGTACACGTTGTCTGCAAATGAGTATTTTGAGATTAATATTCGACAAAGTGACTTGGGTAAAATACCGTTTCTGGTGTTAAAGAAACCTTTAGACCGGGAACAGAGCAGCACACACTCTCTGCTCCTTACAGCGGTTGATGGGGGCAAACCACAGAAATCCGGGACACTGAATATTACCATAATTGTTCTGGACAGTAATGACAATAGACCCGTTTTTACTCAAGAGGTTTTTCACATCACAGTGAAAGAAAATTTGGAGAAAGGAAATGTAATATTTAAGTTAAACGCAACAGATGCGGATGAGGGAATAAATGGAGAAATTGAATACAGCCTCGGGGAAACATTGAGCCAATATGTTTATAAAACATTTGAATTAAACAGATTAACAGGAGAAATTGTCACTAGAGGCCCAATAGACTTTGAAGAAACGGATCATTATGAATTAGACGTGGAGATTTCTGACAAAGGTACCCCAAAGTTAACAGGTGAATGTAGAGTAATTATAAAAATCATAGATGTAAATGATAATTCTCCAGAAATAGACGTGACTTCTCTGTCAAACACAGTGTCTGAAGACTCCAAACCAGGGACAGTTGTTTCTCTCATTCGCGTCAAAGACAAAGACTCTGGTGTCAATGGTAAAATCATCGCTCACATAACAAACAACGTGCCTTTTGAACTCAAACCCTCGTATAAAGAAAACACATATTCAGTTGTCACTAAGGATTTCCTGGACAGGGAGGAGGTGTCACATTATGACATAACTATAAAAGCCACTGACTGTGGGGAGCCTCCTTTATCCACCACTAAAACTCTGAGTATTCAGATATTAGATGTAAACGACAACAGTCCACAGTTTGAACAAAATCCTTTTGTACTTTTATATTGTAGAAAATAACGTGGCAGGGACGTCACTGTTCTCTGTAACTGCATCAGACAAAGACAAGAATGAAAACGCAGATATTTCCTACAGCATTGCGCGTGCAGGACAGGAGAAGGACGTGACGCTCTTTTTTAAACGTGAACGCGGAAAATGGTCAAATCACTGCTCTGAAAAGCTTTGACTTTGAGACATTAAAGTCTTTCCAGTTTCAAGTCGTGGCCTCAGACTCTGGGACTCCGTCACTGAGCAGCAACGCGACAGTGCACGTGTTCATCCTGGATCAGAACGACAACGCTCCAGTCATTCTGTATCCAGTCAGGTCTAATGGTTCTGCTGAAGGAGTGGAGGAGATCCCCCGCAATGTGAACGCGGGACACTTGGTGACTAAAGTCAGGGCCTATGACTCTGATATCGGATATAACGGCTGGCTGCTGTTTTCACTGCAGGAAGTGACTGACCACAGTCTGTTTGGGTTGGACCGCTACACAGGACAGATCAGGACACTTCGCTCGTTCACAGAGACAGACGAGGCCGAGCACAAACTCGTCATACTGGTCAAAGACAATGGCAACGTGTCCCTGTCAGCTACAGCTACTGTGCTCGTGAAAGTGGTGGAGCCCAGAGAGGCTTTTGCAGCTTCTGACGTTAAGAGCTCCTCTAAAGACTCTGAGGACACTAACGTGACTTTTTACCTGATGATAACTCTGGCCTCGGTCTCAGCTCTGTTCATTCTCAGTATCATTGTGCTGATTGCAATGCAGTGCTCCAAGTCCAGCACTGACTACACCTCCAAGTACTTACAGGACACAAACTATGACGGGACTCTGTGCCACAGCATCCAGTACAGATCTGGAGACAAGCGCTACATGTTAGTTGGACCCAGAATGAGCGTAGGATCCACTATAGTCCCAGGGAGCCAAGCCAACACACTGGTGCTGCCTGACAGGAGGAGGCCCTCTGAAGAGGTAAGAGATTAATTCAAAACTGTTTCTCTGCCAGGGCGATTAAGCCCCAGTTTCAGCCAGATGTATTAGATGACACGGTGAAATAATTTGCATTTTAAAGAGCCACATTTTGACTATTTCAAACGTTTGCCCTTTGAATTAAAATGATAATAATTAATGAATACACTTAATTAATAATTATATAATTGCAACATACTTTTAACACGCTGATAGTTGATTTAAGACGTATAATCTTGTCTGATTTTACAATCTCCATAAGAATTAGTCTATTAATTTTAATTCAGTATTTTACAGCACAGCACATACTACTGACTTTGACACACATGTATTAAGAAAGATTTAAGAATTCACATTTGTCCCTGTTTTGTTTTATTTTATTTTTTGTTCATTAAAGGCTTACGCCCTTATTAGACACATGAGTAGATAGATCCGGGATAAACTTGCCTATTTATCCCGGATCTATCCTATGCACCACAATGGAGCTTTTGACTAAGTATTTTAAAGCATGACATATGATTTATTATGTCTAGATTGTTATTTTAGATAACATTATTAAGACAGTCTTGAAAAATATCCACCGACCTTCTTGAATTTCAGTGATGCCTCTGTACCTGGTGCTGAAGCAGTGAAAGTAGTGTTGGGTTAAGAAATCCAGTTTCTCAAATGTATATACCTATTCTGTGCACAATATGTGGTGTAAATATGTTTTATTTTTTTGTAGAGCCCATGTAAAAATGTAATATGACGCGATCATGCAATTTTCTTAAGTTGTAAGTGTGACCACACGATGGCACTAACCCTCAGAGAAACCTCCGTCCATTTTTGTCCCTCCTCTCACAGATTCTTTTGTCTCTTCTTGACTGAAGCGTTGTAGTTATTTATCTGTTCAGTTACTCTGGATTATTGGGTGCCTTAGTGACTACAAATAAAGAACAATAGAAACTAAAAGATTTGTTGATGAGGAAGATGAAGAAGTCATTTGTAGTGGGACAATGTTCGTGGATCGTTTTGTGCACATCTCTTCTGCTGTTTTTTGGACAGTGCGCTTTGGCTCAGATCAGATATTCTGTTCCGGAGGAGGTCAAAGACGGGACTGTGGTTGGAAATGTCGCAAAAGATCTTGGTCTTGATGTTGCCACTTTGGGTGAGAGACGGTTCCGTATTTCTGAAACAAAGGACACTATATTTGCTGTAAACGCTGATAATGGCGCTTTGTACGTCCACGGGCGCATTGACAGAGAGCAGCTGTGTCAGGGCAGCGGTACGTGTCTGATGGAGCTGAAGGTTCTGGTGGAAAACCCTTTGGAAGTTCACTATGTGGTTGTAGAAATCACCGATGTAAACGATCATGCTCCGAGATTTCCCAAAATTAACCAGACGTTTGAAATTGGAGAGCACACTTTGCCAGGGAAAAGATTTCAGCTACACTCCGCTTATGATCCGGACGCAGGAACAAATTCTATCCGCACGTACACTTTGTCTGCAAATGAACATTTTGACATTAATATTCGTGAAATTGATGGTGAGAAAACTCCATTCTTGGTTTTAAAAAAAGCACTAGACAGGGAAGCAGATAGCCACCACTCTCTTGTAGTGACAGCATCTGATGGAGGTAAACCTAAAAAATCAGGGACACTGAACGTTTCTGTAATTGTTCTGGACAGTAACGACAACAGGCCAGTTTTCAGCCAAGATGTATTTGAAATTACAGTCAAAGAAAATGTTCCTGTTGGAACTTTAATATTTCGACTTAATGCTTCCGACATCGATGAAGGTATGAATGGGGAAATTGATTACAGATTTATGACAACAGTAAAGCAACATATACATGATATATTTGATCTGGACATAACAACGGGGGAAATAAAAGTGAAGAAAACATTAGATTATGAGATTAGGGATACATACGCACTTGAAATCGAAGCGTCAGATAATGGTACCCCTCCATCAACTGGTGAATGTAGAGTTATTATAAAAATCATAGATGTAAATGATAATTTTCCAGAAATAGACGTGACTTCTCTGTCAAACACAGTGTCTGAAGACTCCAAACCAGGGACAGTTGTATCACTAATAAGTGTAACAGACAAAGACTCTGGTGTCAATGGTAAAATCATCGCTCACATAACAAACAACGTGCCTTTTGAACTCAAACCCTCTTATAAAGAAAACACATATTCAGTTGTCACTAAGGATTTCCTAGACAGGGAGGAGGTGTCACATTATGACATAACTATAAAAGCCACTGACTGTGGGGAGCCTCCTTTATCCACCACTAAAACTCTGAGTATTCAGATATTAGATGTAAACGACAACAGTCCACAGTTTGAACAAAATCCTCTGTACTTTTATATTGTAGAAAATAACGTGGCAGGGACGTCACTGTTCTCTGTAACTGCATCAGACAAAGACAAGAATGAAAACGCAGATATTTCCTACAGCATTGCGCGTGCAGGACAGGAGAAGGACGTGACGCTCTTTTTAAACGTGAACGCGGAAAATGGTCAAATCACTGCTCTGAAAAGCTTTGATTTTGAGACATTAAAGTCTTTCCAGTTTCAAGTCGTGGCCTCAGACTCTGGGACTCCGTCACTGAGCAGCAACGCGACAGTGCACGTGTTCATCCTGGATCAGAACGACAACGCTCCAGTCATTCTGTATCCAGTCAGGTCTAATGGTTCTGCTGAAGGAGTGGAGGAGATCCCCCGCAATGTGAACGCGGGACACTTGGTGACTAAAGTCAGAGCCTATGACTCTGATATCGGATATAACGGCTGGCTGCTGTTTTCACTGCAGGAAGTGACTGACCACAGTCTGTTTGGGTTGGACCGCTACACAGGACAGATCAGGACACTTCGCTCGTTCACAGAGACAGACGAGGCCGAGCACAAACTCGTCATACTGGTCAAAGACAATGGCAACGTGTCCCTGTCAGCTACAGCTACTGTGCTCGTGAAAGTGGTGGAGCCCAGAGAGGCTTTTGCAGCTTCTGACGTTAAGAGCTCCTCTAAAGACTCTGAGGACACTAACGTGACTTTTTACCTGATGATAACTCTGGCCTCGGTCTCAGCTCTGTTCATTCTCAGTATCATTGTGCTGATTGCAATGCAGTGCTCCAAGTCCAGCACTGACTACACCTCCAAGTACTTACAGGACACAAACTATGACGGGACTCTGTGCCACAGCATCCAGTACAGATCTGGAGACAAGCGCTACATGTTAGTTGGACCCAGAATGAGCGTAGGATCCACTATAGTCCCAGGGAGCCAAGCCAACACACTGGTGCTGCCTGACAGGAGGAGGCCCTCTGAAGAGGTAAGACCTAATGAACCTTGTTCTTTTAACTAATATAAATCATCAATCATGTACTCCACTGTCCACAGGTTAAACTGCGGTTGGTATAATTTCTTTACTTAAAATAAAATTTTCGGATCAATAGCAGCATCAACATGTTCTACCTCATGTGGGTTAAGGCTGCAGATTGCGTACTGGAATATTTGGTGGAAAAAGTGATGAAACGCTATTTAAAGTTAACCGTCAGAAGAAATGCCAAAACTTGGTCTCGATAGTCATATTGTTTCTGGTGTTAAGTGAGCGGAGTGGGCATTTATGTGTTTAGTGTAAGCAGTTGAAAAAATAGGGTCTGTGTGAAAAGTTGTAGAGTGTAATGTAAATCAAGTTTGTATTTTTGTTTGTTCATTGTAATACATGTTTTCCCCGCGCGATTGTGCTGTGGTGTTGCATCCCTTTACGTGAACGTTGAAAGATAATAGTCTCGCGCACTTGCACTTAAGAAAGCATCAGAAAAGTTTTACGTTTTGCTGGAGAAACATCTGTTTAGGCCACACAAGTTTATTCTTGACCATATCGAGGTGCCACTGCCGTTATGGGGATGTTTTGTGTACCGTTATTTTAGTGATGATGCTGTAATAACGCCCTTTGTTTCTGTTTCTGAACTAGTAGGGAAGAGAAAGAGAAATAAAGAACTCCTAAATTTGAAGTACTTTGTGCTCTATATCCCTGGCTTCATTAGATTGGGTGTTTTTCAGTGTCATGCCATTGCTGTCCCTGGTGCTGACCGAACATGTATTCAACATCAGTGCAGTTCGATTTTTTTCCCACCTTTTTGTTTTCAACTAGTGCGATTACCGCAGTTATAAAAACGTTCTTTTAGCAAATGACAAATAACCAACACATGGCTGGGATAATGAAATGGCGTACAATTGTAAGAACCAAACAAACAAATGAATAAATACAATGATAAAAAACAGAAAAAATAGCGAAGCTTGTAAAATATAGTTTGTTTGGATAAAATATTATTTTGTCTATACTTCAAAGCTGTTTATAAAAGTATTACACACCCAGTGATGCTGAAATAATGAACATGATTTTTGTTTATCTGTGATATTGAAAACATTTTTGGACATACTGTTTCTCCTGCCTTTTGGTATTTGTAATTACCTCATGTAATTAGGAGGTGGTTGTGAGTTCAAGGTACTGCAGCATGTTTGACAATGGTTTAACAGGGCACTGTATAATTCAGTTTGTATTGTAAATGCCTCAAATTATGCTAATAAATTCGTAGAATACAGTATTTCTGGGTCCTTTCGTGGAAGTCACGGTGTGTGACAAAATACTCTATCAACTAGTGAACCATGCAAAAGTGAAGTTTTGTCTTAAAATCCAGTTTGCAGAAGTAATCTGTGTACCGTGTTGAGATTTCAAATATGAGAATACAGTATTTCAAATATAATATTGCAGTACACAGTAAATGTTGCAGTGAAATATCTGCAGGACAAACTTTCTCTGACCCAAGAGTTCTGCTTGATCACCAGGTTGCGCTATTTGACTTGAAAAGCTCTGCACCACATCGTCCCTCCTCTTTCAGATCCTTTTGTTTCGGTTTGACTTGAGGGTACTGTGTTCGTTTGTCTAAGGCTTTACTTTGGATATTTGGCTTTATAGTGACTTCAAAACCTGTCATCACCGATAAATGGATTTATGAACAATAATGGAGATGAAGAAACCATTTGTTCAGAGAAAATATTCGTGGATCACTTTGTGCTCTTTTTTATTGCTGTTGTTTGGGCAGTGCGCTTTGGCTCAGATCAGATATTCTGTTCCGGAGGAGGTGAAGGACGGGACTGTTGTTGGGAATGTCGCAAAGGATCTTGGTCTTGATGTTTCCTCTTTGGGTGAGAGACGGTTCCGTGTGGTTTCTGAAACGAATGAGGCTATTTTTGCTGTAAACGCTGATAATGGCGCTTTGTACGTCCACGGGCGCATTGACAGAGAGCAGCTGTGTCAGGGCAGCGGTACGTGTCTGATGGAGCTGAAGGTTCTGGTGGAAAACCCTTTGGAAGTTCACTATGTGGTTGTAGAAATTACTGATGTGAATGATCATGCACCAAGATTTCCCCAAACAAATCAAACGTTTGGAATTGGAGAACAATCTTTACCAGGAAAACGATTTCAGTTGCACTCTGCTTATGATCCCGACGCAGGAGCTAATTCTATCCGCGCCTACACTTTATCTTCCAATGAACATTTTGACATTAGCACTCGTGAAGCTGACGGTGAAAAGACACCTTATTTAATTCTAAAAAAATCTCTAGACAGAGAAATAAACAAAGATCACTTTCTCGTAGTGACTGCGGTGGATGGAGGTAAACCTCAAAAATCAGGTAGACTAAATATTACCATTATTGTTCTTGACATTAATGATAATAGACCAGTGTTTGGTCAAGAGGTGTATCAAATATCCCTCAATGAAAATGTACCAGTGGGAACAGTTTTCTTCAGACTTAATGCGACAGACCCAGATGAAAATAAAAATGGAGAAGTTGAATATAGTCTCGGAACAACACTGCTCCGAAATATTTATAATGTTTTTGAACTAGACAAAGTAACTGGGGAAATTCGTGTAAAGGAAAAACTTGATTATGAGGATGGGGATATGTTTAGATTAGACGTAGAGGCTTCAGATAAAGGCACTCCCCCACTCACAGGTGAATGTAGAGTAATTATAAAAATCATAGATGTAAATGATAATTCACCTGAAATAGACGTGACTTCTCTGTCAAACACAGTGGCTGAAGACTCCAAACCAGGGACAGTAGTTTCTCTCATTCGCGTCAAAGACAAAGACTCTGGTGTCAACGGTAAAATCATCGCTCACATAACAAACAACGTGCCTTTTGAACTCAAACCCTCTTATAAAGAAAACACATATTCAGTTGTCACTAAGGATTTCCTGGACAGGGAGGAGGTGTCACATTATGACATAACTATAAAAGCCACTGACTGTGGGGAGCCTCCTTTATCCACCACTAAAACTCTGAGTATTCAGATATTAGATGTAAACGACAACAGTCCACAGTTTGAACAAAATCCTCTGTACTTTTATATTGTAGAAAATAACGTGGCAGGGACGTCACTGTTCTCTGTAACTGCATCAGACAAAGACAAGAATGAAAACGCAGATATTTCCTACAGCATTGCGCGTGCAGGACAGGAGAAGGACGTGACGCTCTTTTTAAACGTGAAACGCGGAAAATGGTCAAATCACTGCTCTGAAAAGCTTTGACTTTGAGACATTAAAGTCTTTCCAGTTTCAAGTCGTGGCCTCAGACTCTGGGACTCCGTCACTGAGCAGCAACGCGACAGTGCACGTGTTCATCCTGGATCAGAACGACAACGCTCCAGTCATTCTGTATCCAGTCAGGTCTAATGGTTCTGCTGAAGGAGTGGAGGAGATCCCCCGCAATGTGAACGCGGGACACTTGGTGACTAAAGTCAGGGCCTATGACTCTGATATCGGATATAACGGCTGGCTGCTGTTTTCACTGCAGGAAGTGACTGACCACAGTCTGTTTGGGTTGGACCGCTACACAGGACAGATCAGGACACTTCGCTCGTTCACAGAGACAGACGAGGCCGAGCACAAACTCGTCATACTGGTCAAAGACAATGGCAACGTGTCCCTGTCAGCTACAGCTACTGTGCTCGTGAAAGTGGTGGAGCCCAGAGAGGCTTTTGCAGCTTCTGACGTTAAGAGCTCCTCTAAAGACTCTGAGGACACTAACGTGACTTTTTACCTGATGATAACTCTGGCCTCGGTCTCAGCTCTGTTCATTCTCAGTATCATTGTGCTGATTGCAATGCAGTGCTCCAAGTCCAGCACTGACTACACCTCCAAGTACTTACAGGACACAAACTATGACGGGACTCTGTGCCACAGCATCCAGTACAGATCTGGAGACAAGCGCTACATGTTAGTTGGACCCAGAATGAGCGTAGGATCCACTATAGTCCCAGGGAGCCAAGCCAACACACTGGTGCTGCCTGACAGGAGGAGGCCCTCTGAGGAGGTAAGAGATAAACTTTAAACATGTATTTTCTAACCACAAATCCCTTAGTTGACCATGGACTGTATATTTTAAAAAAAAGTAATCACGTGGCAGTGAAGAGCAAATGTTTGCCAGAAGTACATGGTGTTGTGAAATAATTAAAATTTTTATGATTATATGGCTTTTTGTAAAATTTGCCCTCTGAATAATACACTGTTATTGATCACTCCTCCTGAGACCCTTTCCATCAGTGTATTTGATGCTTAAATTCTCTATTTGAATAGCCTAGTCACTGTTTTGATGATATCTTGTTCTCCCGTCGTTGTTTTGTTACATTCACAGTCCATAATATTGATTTTGAGCAAAATCATATTCACTAATAAAAAGGAAAAAGTCATTGCATCAATCTTTCATAATATTTACTGGCATCAATTTCCTGCTTTGCTTGTTTCAACACATGTTAAAGAAACTGTGTGTTACTCGCAGTCTTGCTTTGTTTTCCTTTTAAGTTACTACAGTCAGACCTGAACCTGTGTTACTTGTACCTAAATCTGCTGTTGAAAGACCCATGCACATTTTTGTCATTCTCAGTGTATGGACAGGCAATGTCTCATGTGAAAGCTCAGAAACACCTCAGTGTAAACGAACTGAGTCATGAATAATGATTAACTGCATATACTAGGGTTCAGGCATTGGATTCAGATCAGAGAGAACTTTTAAATTTGGCAACCCAAATGAGCAACTCATATGAAGCTCCTTCTGCCTTGTATTTGAAAAATCGTCTTAAGAACCAAAATTTCAAATCAATTGGACAACATGTCAAATGTTCTTTGTAATTAGGAATAAATCAGCATTAGAATTGTTGTTGATAAAAGCTATATTTGATGTTAACATGTAAACCTTGTATATTTCCTGAATTAATGCACTTTCAATATTCGAAGGAAAGTCATACATTTTATCTTGGCTGAATTGATTATTTGGAAAACATTACTAAGACTGTCTTGAAAAGTATTCAACAGACTTTTTTAACTTCAGTCCTGCCGCTGACCGTGGTGCTGAAGTAACAACACTGATGCAAGATGTAGAAATCCACTTTCTCCCAAATTCCATGCTGTGCACAATGGTTGGTGTACTTTTTTGGCAAATATCAGTGTTAAAATGTAGAATTATTTTTTAGTTTTATGAGTGACCAGAAGGTGGCACTAACCGTCAAGGAAACCTCTGCTCCATTTTGTCCCTCCTCTCACAGATCCTTTTGTTTCTTTTTTGACTGAAGCGTTGTAGTTACTTGTGTGTTCAGTTACTCTGGATTAGTTGTCGCTTTCGTGGCTACAGTTACAGTCAACATAAATATATGGATCTGTGAACAATGATGGAGATTAAAAGGCCATTTGCAGTGGGAATCAGCGCGTGGATCGTTTTGTGTTCGGCTCTACTGCTGCTTTTTGGACAGTCCGTTTTGGCTCAGATCAGATACTCTGTTCCGGAGGAGGTGAAGGACGGGACTGTGGTTGGAAATGTGGCAAAGGATCTTGGTCTTGATGTTGCCTCTTTGGGTGAGAGACGGTTCCGTATTTCTGAAACAAAGGACACTATATTTGCTGTAAACTCTGATAATGGCGCTTTGTACGTCCACGGGCGCATTGACAGAGAGCAGCTGTGTCAGGGCAGCGGTACGTGTCTGATGGAGCTGAAGGTTCTGGTGGAAAACCCTTTGGAAGTTCACTATGTTGTTGTAGAAATCACCGATGTAAACGACCACGCGCCCACCTTTCCCAAAAGAAATGAAACCATAGAAATAGCGGAACATACCTTATCTGGAAAACGATTTCAGCTGCACTCTGCTCATGATCCTGACGCAGGGATGAACTCAGTTCGCACGTACAGTTTGTCTGCTAATGAACATTTTGACATTAATATTCGAGAAACTGATGGTGAAAAAATACCATTTCTAGTTTTGAAAAAAATGCTGGACAGAGAAAAAAGCAGTGAACATTCTTTAGTGGTCACAGCGGTTGATGGAGGTAAACCCCAGAGGTCAGGCACACTTAATGTTACCATTATTGTTCTTGATACTAATGATAATAGACCAGTTTTTAGTCAAGAGATTTATGAAATTACAGCGAAAGAAAATCTACAAACAGGCACGTCAATTTTTAAGCTCACAGCTACAGACCCAGACGAAGGAACGAATGGGGTAATTGAATATAGTCTGGCAAAAACATTAAAGCAAAGAATATTTGATATTTTTGAATTAGACACGAAAACTGGTGATATTTTCGCAAAAGGACAGATAGATTATGAAGAAAAGGATTTCTATGAACTGGAAGTACAAGCGTCAGATAAAGGCACACCTCCATTAACAGGTGAATGTAGAGTTATTATAAAAATCATAGATGTAAATGATAATTCACCTGAAATAGACGTGACTTCTCTGTCAAACACAGTGTCTGAAGACTCCAAACCAGGGACAGTTGTATCACTAATCAGTGTAACAGACAAAGACTCTGGTGTCAATGGTAAAATCATCGCTCACATAACAAACAACGTGCCTTTTGAAGCTCAAACCCTCTTATAAAGAAAACACATATTCAGTTGTCACTAAGGATTTCCTGGACAGGGAGGAGGTGTCACATTATGACATAACTATAAAAGCCACTGACTGTGGGGAGCCTCCTTTATCCACCACTAAAACTCTGAGTATTCAGATATTAGATGTAAACGACAACAGTCCACAGTTTGAACAAAATCCTCTGTACTTTTATATTGTAGAAAATAACGTGGCAGGGACGTCACTGTTCTCTGTAACTGCATCAGACAAAGACAAGAATGAAAACGCAGATATTTCCTACAGCATTGCGCGTGCAGGACAGGAGAAGGACGTGACGCTCTTTTTAAACGTGAACGCGGAAAATGGTCAAATCACTGCTCTGAAAAGCTTTGACTTTGAGACATTAAAGTCTTTCCAGTTTCAAGTCGTGGCCTCAGACTCTGGGACTCCGTCACTGAGCAGCAACGCGACAGTGCACGTGTTCATCCTGGATCAGAACGACAACGCTCCAGTCATTCTGTATCCAGTCAGGTCTAATGGTTCTGCTGAAGGAGTGGAGGAGATCCCCCGCAATGTGAACGCGGGACACTTGGTGACTAAAGTCAGGGCCTATGACTCTGATATCGGATATAACGGCTGGCTGCTGTTTTCACTGCAGGAAGTGACTGACCACAGTCTGTTTGGGTTGGACCGCTACACAGGACAGATCAGGACACTTCGCTCGTTCACAGAGACAGACGAGGCCGAGCACAAACTCGTCATACTGGTCAAAGACAATGGCAACGTGTCCCTGTCAGCTACAGCTACTGTGCTCGTGAAAGTGGTGGAGCCCAGAGAGGCTTTTGCAGCTTCTGACGTTAAGAGCTCCTCTAAAGACTCTGAGGACACTAACGTGACTTTTTACCTGATGATAACTCTGGCCTCGGTCTCAGCTCTGTTCATTCTCAGTATCATTGTGCTGATTGCAATGCAGTGCTCCAAGTCCAGCACTGACTACACCTCCAAGTACTTACAGGACACAAACTATGACGGGACTCTGTGCCACAGCATCCAGTACAGATCTGGAGACAAGCGCTACATGTTAGTTGGACCCAGAATGAGCGTAGGATCCACTATAGTCCCAGGGAGCCAAGCCAACACACTGGTGCTGCCTGACAGGAGGAGGCCCTCTGAAGAGGTAAAGCATAAACAAACCAATCTGATTTAATCTTTGTTTGTATCTTTTTTTAAATTTTTATCTTGAAAGCTCATACGCACTCCACTCACAGGCAGTTTTGCTTAGTCTACTTATAAACTGACATAAATGTCACATGGCAAAGCTCTAAACATTGAACGTTTGACCTTTTGTTTGAGTAGAAATTACTAATTGAAAATTTGGCAGTATGGCTTCATTGCATCCAGAGACATCAACTTGAGAAAACATACAGTCAAAAGAGCATTAATAATACTTTATAATGGCAATGTGTGTGTATGTGTTTGTACAAATTTTCGCTGGTGTAGCATTTCATGTTTTATGAATGCTTGGCGACAACATTCCTGCTCAACAGTGTTACTTACCGCGTGGTTGTAATTTGTCTAAACTAAACCTTTTCAATATCCCAGCAAATATACAATTGTTAAAATGCTACATATTTGTCTCCTCACTAAGGCAGATGATAATAATATGGGGGTAAAGGATAAGGAAAAACAATTCTTTTCTGCCTAATTTTCCCCTCAGACAGATCGGTCGCTGTCCAAGGTGCTAAGGACACAGACGATTGTGTAAAGGTTGCTCAAAGATATAATGACTATTAAAACATATGTCTACATGGTCTTTGACTCTCATTCATAAATATCACACAGGCAAGGCAGTACGCATCACTGTCCAAATCATCTGTATATACGAATAAATATCATATCTTTAACCACGTGGAGGCACTGTTGCATCAAAACCGTTTTTGCTATGTCCCTCCCCAAAGGAAAAAAACAACAAAAAAAACCTTTGAACCTTTGTTCCAATCTGTACATCATTCCCTAGGAACAAATGCGCACTCTGCAGTAAGTGTCTTACTTTCAGACAAATGTCTTATAATGTCATTAGCATAGAAGGAATTAAGTCAACAGTAGGCATGGACATAATGTCGAAATCAAGAATCTGCTCGTGGGTCACTTTGTGCTTGACTCTAATGATGCTTTTTGGACGCAGTACTTTGGCTCAGATCAGATACTCGATTCCGGAGGAGGTGAAAGACGGGACTGTTGTTGGAAACGTCGCAAAGGATCTTGGTCTTGATGTTGCATCGTTAGTTGAGAGACGGTTCCGTGTTGTTTCTGAAACGAATGGAGATACATTTGCTGTAAACGCTGATAATGGCGCTTTGTACGTCCACGGGCGCATTGACAGAGAGCAGCTGTGTCAGGGCAGCGGTACGTGTCTGATGGAGCTGAAGGTTCTGGTGGAAAACCCTTTGGAAGTTCACTATGTTGTTGTAGAAATCACCGATGTAAACGACCACGCGCCCACCTTTCCCAAAAGAAATGAAACCATAGAAATAGCGGAACATACCTTATCTGGAAAACGATTTCAACTACATCCTGCTCGTGATCCCGATGCAGGAATTAACTCCATTCGCACGTACACTTTATCTGCAAATGAACATTTTGACGTGAATGTTCGTGAGAGTGATTTGAGTAAAACTCCGTTTTTGGTTTTAAAGAAACCTTTAGATCGAGAACAAAGCAAGACACATTATCTGCTCCTTACCGCTGTTGATGGAGGTAAACCCAGAAGATCAGGGACACTAAATGTTACAATTATTGTTCTAGACAGTAATGATAATAGACCAGTTTTTTACACAAGAGGTTTATGAAATTTCACTTCGAGAAAATGTTGAAATAGGAACTGTAGTAATAACTCTCACTGCAACTGATGCTGACGATGGGAATAATGGAGAAATTGAATATAGTCTGAGAGAATCGCTGATTCAAGAGGTAAAAAACGTATTTCAAATGGATAAAATTAGCGGAGCAATTACAACAAACCAATTAATCAATTTCGAAGAAACAGACCAATATGAATTAGACGTAGAGGCTTCAGATAAAGGCACGCCCCCGTTGACTGGCGAATGTAGAGTTATTATAAAAATCATAGATGTAAATGATAATTCTCCAGAAATAGACGTGACTTCTCTGTCAAACACAGTGTCTGAAGACTCCAAACCAGGGACAGTAGTTTCTCTCATTCGCGTCAAAGACAAAGACTCTGGTGTCAATGGTAAAATCATCGCTCACATAACAAACAACGTGCCTTTTGAACTCAAACCCTCGTATAAAAGAAAACACATATTCAGTTGTCACTAAGGATTTCCTGGACAGGGAGGAGGTGTCAAATTATGACATAACTATAAAAGCCACTGACTGTGGGGAGCCTCCTTTATCCACCACTAAAACTCTGAGTATTCAGATATTAGATGTAAACGACAACAGTCCACAGTTTGAACAAAATCCTCTGTACTTTTATATTGTAGAAAATAACGTGGCAGGGACGTCACTGTTCTCTGTAACTGCATCAGACAAAGACAAGAATGAAAACGCAGATATTTCCTACAGCATTGCGCGTGCAGGACAGGAGAAGGACGTGACGCTCTTTTTAAACGTGAACGCGGAAAATGGTCAAATCACTGCTCTGAAAAGCTTTGACTTTGAGACATTAAAGTCTTTCCAGTTTCAAGTCGTGGCCTCAGACTCTGGGACTCCGTCACTGAGCAGCAACGCGACAGTGCACGTGTTCATCCTGGATCAGAACGACAACGCTCCAGTCATTCTGTATCCAGTCAGGTCTAATGGTTCTGCTGAAGGAGTGGAGGAGATCCCCCGCAATGTGAACGCGGGACACTTGGTGACTAAAGTCAGGGCCTATGACTCTGATATCGGATATAACGGCTGGCTGCTGTTTTCACTGCAGGAAGTGACTGACCACAGTCTGTTTGGGTTGGACCGCTACACAGGACAGATCAGGACACTTCGCTCGTTCACAGAGACAGACGAGGCCGAGCACAAACTCGTCATACTGGTCAAAGACAATGGCAACGTGTCCCTGTCAGCTACAGCTACTGTGCTCGTGAAAGTGGTGGAGCCCAGAGAGGCTTTTGCAGCTTCTGACGTTAAGAGCTCCTCTAAAGACTCTGAGGACACTAACGTGACTTTTTACCTGATGATAACTCTGGCCTCGGTCTCAGCTCTGTTCATTCTCAGTATCATTGTGCTGATTGCAATGCAGTGCTCCAAGTCCAGCACTGACTACACCTCCAAGTACTTACAGGACACAAACTATGACGGGACTCTGTGCCACAGCATCCAGTACAGATCTGGAGACAAGCGCTACATGTTAGTTGGACCCAGAATGAGCGTAGGATCCACTATAGTCCCAGGGAGCCAAGCCAACACACTGGTGCTGCCTGACAGGAGGAGGCCCTCTGAAGAGGTAAGAAGGATTACACTCTGTTCATGACTTCTCTTTAGTTAAAGCAAGACTAAGCAGTTCCTATTATTTTTTATTATTATTAATTGTTTACTTTTGTTTTAGTATTTGCTCTCCGTGGTGCTGATTCTGACGTCATTTAATCATGTGTCTCAAAGCAATATTACAACATTGCCTCAATCATATATAGTTTAATTTTATGCACTCATTTCGTGTGAATTTCAGTTTACGTTTTCACGTTAAATGTTAAAGCTGTTTGGATTTGAGCTGATCGCTTCCCATTGTGCTGCGAAAGTCGAATAGATTTATAGATGACATACATTTCCTGATCCCTGGTTTCTCATATGTTGCCTAAAAATAATAAAATGTAATGAATTACAGGAATTATTTGAACGTATATTTCTGTATCAGGGTATGGACTATTATGTGTCATGATGAATACTTACACATCTTATTTAGTCACATGTGCATCTAAAAAATCCAGGGGTTATACAACTGTGCTCCGATATGAATGTGTGTCAGCGGGGGGCAGTGCTTCATCGATATTTGCTGTCTGAAAAGGCCCGCCTCTTTTGTTGTTCCTTCTTGGGTTGTGGCATCTTTGTTGGACGTACAGGCGGAGAACTGTTTTTGGTCATTTTTTTCTGGCACTTCTGCAATTTTGTTTATGAAAATGATCTAAAACTCAAAAACAGAAATATGTCTGTAATGAGTTACACCGTTGCACCTTTTGTCTCGTGTCATCGCGTTCGTCAAATAGGATGGCGACACCAGCTTTATCCGATCGTCTTTCTGATTTTGTGGGTCTCATCAGGAGAGGCCTCGTCCCAGTTAAGATATTCCATTTCAGAAGAGCTTCCCGAGGGACATGTCGTTGGAAATATAGCCAAGGATTTGGGCATCGAGCTGAATCTGCTGAAAGAAAGGAGTTTTCGTATTATGGCAGACGCCACCGCACCACTCTTCAGTGTGAATGAAAACAACGGAGACCTTTATTCCAACAGAGTAGTAGACAGAGAAGCGGTTTGTAAAGATAACAATGCGTGTTTAATTAATCTAAAAGCCGTGTTGGACAACCCGTTAGAGGTACATTATATCTTAGTGGAAGTGATAGATTTAAATGACCATTCGCCTGTGTTCCCGGAGAAAATTAAACGGCTTGAAATTGTAGAGTCTGCCTTGCCAGGGACAAAATATCTATTACACAATGCATATGATCCAGACTCTGGTCCAAACACTGTTCAACAGTATAAACTCAGTCAAAATGAGTATTTTCGCTTAGAAGTGAAAGATCGAGGCAAAGATGGTAAAACCCCTGTGCTACAATTACAAAAGCAGTTAGACAGAGAGACCAAAAGCAATCATAAGATGGTGTTGACCGCGTTTGATGGCGGAAACCCTTCAAAATCAGGGACTGTTGAAATTATAATAGACGTGTTGGATGTTAATGACAACATGCCTGTTTTCACCAAAGATTCATACACCGCGGTGCTACAAGAAAATGCACCAATCGGTACAACAGTGATGCAAGTCAACGCAACTGACTTGGACAGTGGTTCTAACGGGGAGGTAATTTACTCCTTTAGCAGAGAAGTTAAAGATACAATTAGGCAACTATTTGATATCGACCCATTCACGGGGGAGATTACTGTTAAAGGTAATATTGATTTTGAAGAAGAAGATAGTTATGACATTGATGTGCAGGCGTCTGATAGGGGTAGCATTCCCTTTCGAACGGATAAAAGTGTCATCATAAAAATAGGAGATGCGAACGACAACCCCCCTGTGATAGAAGTGGCGTCTTTGTCAGGTGCCGTGCCCGAAGACAGCCGCCCAGGAACAACTGTGGCTTTAATTAGTATCACAGACTTAGATTCTGGAATAAATGGGAAAATCTTGAGCCACGTGACCACAGATAGTCCATTTACCATAAAACCTTCAATCCAAAGCAATATGTTTGCTGTCGTCACTAAATCACAGCTGGACAGGGAACAGCACGCGTTCTATGATGTAACTATAATGGCAGAAGATGCGGGTGATCCACAATTACGCTCTAACAAAACGATCAGGGTAACAGTATCAGATGTGAATGACAATAATCCACAGTTTAATGTGATAATGTATGCTATGTACATAACCGAAAATAACCCACCAGGAGCGTCTGTGTTTTCAGTAAAAGCCACAGATTGGGATGAGGGTGAGAACGGGTTAATTTCTTATCAGATACACAGAGGCGGTGGAGATGAATACAAAATCGTATCATTTCTTAACATAAACACCGAAACTGGTGATATTGTAGCACTAAAAAGTTTTGACTTTGAGACATTAAAGTCTTTCCAGTTTCAAGTCGTGGCCTCAGACTCTGGGACTCCGTCACTGAGCAGCAACGCGACAGTGCACGTGTTCATCCTGGATCAGAACGACAACGCTCCAGTCATTCTGTATCCAGTCAGGTCTAATGGTTCTGCTGAAGGAGTGGAGGAGATCCCCCGCAATGTGAACGCGGGACACTTGGTGACTAAAGTCAGGGCCTATGACTCTGATATCGGATATAACGGCTGGCTGCTGTTTTCACTGCAGGAAGTGACTGACCACAGTCTGTTTGGGTTGGACCGCTACACAGGACAGATCAGGACACTTCGCTCGTTCACAGAGACAGACGAGGCCGAGCACAAACTCGTCATACTGGTCAAAGACAATGGCAACGTGTCCCTGTCAGCTACAGCTACTGTGCTCGTGAAAGTGGTGGAGCCCAGAGAGGCTTTTGCAGCTTCTGACGTTAAGAGCTCCTCTAAAGACTCTGAGGACACTAACGTGACTTTTTACCTGATGATAACTCTGGCCTCGGTCTCAGCTCTGTTCATTCTCAGTATCATTGTGCTGATTGCAATGCAGTGCTCCAAGTCCAGCACTGACTACACCTCCAAGTACTTACAGGATACAAACTATGACGGGACTCTGTGCCACAGCATCCAGTACAGATCTGGAGACAAGCGCTACATGTTAGTTGGACCCAGAATGAGCGTAGGATCCACTATAGTCCCAGGGAGCCAAGCCAACACACTGGTGCTGCCTGACAGGAGGAGGCCCTCTGAAGAGGTAAAGCATAAACAAACCAATCTGATTTAATCTTTGTTTGTATCTTTTTTTTATTTTTATCTTGAAAGCTCATACGCACTCCACTCACAGGCAGTTTTGCTTAGTCTACTTATAAACTGACATAAATGTCACATGGCAAAGCTCTAAACATTGAACGTTTGACCTTTGTTTGAGTAGAAATTACTAATTGAAAATTTGGCAGTATGGCTTCATTGCATCCAGAGACATCAACTTGAGAAAACATACAGTCAAAAGAGCATTAATAATACTTTATAATGGCAATGTGTGTGTATGTGTTTGTACAAATTTTCGCTGGTGTAGCATTTCATGTTTTATGAATGCTTGGCGACAACATTCCTGCTCAACAGTGTTACTTACCATGTGGTTGTAATTTGTCTAAACTAAACCTTTTCAATATCCCAGCAAATATACAATTGTTAAAATGCTACATATTTGTCTCCTCACTAAGGCAGATGATAATAATATGGGGGTAAAGGATAAGGAAAAACAATTCTTTTCTGCCTAATTTTCCCCTCAGACAGATCGGTCGCTGTCCAAGGTGCTAAGGACACAGACGATTGTGTAAAGGTTGCTCAAAAGATATAATGACTATTAAAACATATGTCTACATGGTCTTTGACTCTCATTCATAAATATCACACAGGCAAGGCAGCACGCATCACTGTCCAAAATCATCTGTATACGAAAAAAATCATATCTTTAACCACGTGGAGGCACTGTTGCATCAAAACCGTTTTTGCTATGTCCCTCCCCAAAGGAAAAAAAACAAACAAAAAAAAACCTTTGGACCTTTGTTCCAATCTGTACATCATTCCCTAGGAACAAATGCGCACTCTGCAGTAAGTGTCTTACTTTCAGACAAATGTCTTATAATGTCATTAGCATAGAAGGAATTAAGTCAACAGTAGGCATGGACATAATGTCGAAATCAAGAATCTGCTCGTGGGTCACTTTGTGCTTGACTCTACTGATGCTTTTTGGACGCAGTACTTTGGCTCAGATCAGATACTCGATTCCGGAGGAGGTGAAAGACGGGACTGTTGTTGGAAACGTCGCAAAGGATCTTGGTCTTGATGTTGCATCGTTAGTTGAGAGACGGTTCCGTGTTGTTTCTGAAACGAATGGAGATACATTTGCTGTAAACGCTGATAATGGCGCTTTGTACGTCCACGGGCGCATTGACAGAGAGCAGCTGTGTCAGGGCAGCGGTACGTGTCTGATGGAGCTGAAGGTTCTGGTGGAAAACCCTTTGGAAGTTCACTATGTTGTTGTAGAAATCACCGATGTAAACGACCACGCGCCCACCTTTCCCAAAAGAAATGAAACCATAGAAATAGCGGAACAATCTTTACCAGGAAAACGATTTCAGCTACATCCTGCTCGTGATCCCGACACAGGAATTAACTCCATTCGCACGTACACTTTATCTGCAAATGAACATTTTGACGTGAATGTTCGTGAGAGTGATTTGAGTAAAACTCCGTTTTTGGTTTTAAAGAAACCTTTAGATCGAGAACAAAGCAAGACACATTATCTGCTCCTTACCGCTGTTGATGGAGGTAAACCCAGAAGATCAGGGACACTAAATGTTACAATTATTGTTCTAGACAGTAATGATAATAGACCAGTTTTTACACAAGAGGTTTATGAAATTTCACTTCGAGAAAATGTTGAAATAGGAACTGTAGTAATAACTCTCACTGCAACTGATGCTGACGATGGGATTAATGGGGAAATTGAATATAGTCTGAGAGAATCGCTGATTCAAGAGGTAAAAAACGTATTTCAAATGGATAAAATTAGCGGAGCAATTACAACAAACCAATTAATCAATTTCGAAGAAACAGACCAATATGAATTAGACGTAGAGGCTTCAGATAAAGGCACGCCCCCGTTGACTGGCGAATGTAGAGTTATTATAAAAATCATAGATGTAAATGATAATTCTCCAGAAATAGACGTGACTTCTCTGTCAAACACAGTGTCTGAAGACTCCAAACCAGGGACAGTAGTTTCTCTCATTCGCGTCAAAGACAAAGACTCTGGTGTCAATGGTAAAATCATCGCTCACATAACAAACAACGTGCCTTTTGAGCTCAAACCCTCGTATAAAGAAAACACATATTCAGTTGTCACTAAGGATTTCCTGGACAGGGAGGAGGTGTCAAATTATGACATAACTATAAAAGCCACTGACTGTGGGGAGCCTCCTTTATCCACCACTAAAACTCTGAGTATTCAGATATTAGATGTAAACGACAACAGTCCACAGTTTGAACAAAATCCTCTGTACTTTTTATATTGTAGAAAATAACGTGGCAGGGACGTCACTGTTCTCTGTAACTGCATCAGACAAAGACAAGAATGAAAACGCAGATATTTCCTACAGCATTGCGCGTGCAGGACAGGAGAAGGACGTGACGACGCTCTTTTTAAAACGTGAACGCGGAAAATGGTCAAATCACTGCTCTGAAAAGCTTTGACTTTGAGACATTAAAGTCTTTTCCAGTTTCCAGTTTCAAGTCGTGGCCTCAGACTCAGACTCTGGGACTCCGTCACTGAGCAGCAACGCGACAGTGCACGTGTTCATCCTGGATCAGAACGACAACGCTCCAGTCATTCTGTATCCAGTCAGGTCTAATGGTTCTGCTGAAGGAGTGGAGGAGATCCCCCGCAATGTGAACGCGGGACACTTGGTGACTAAAGTCAGGGCCTATGACTCTGATATCGGATATAACGGCTGGCTGCTGTTTTCACTGCAGGAAGTGACTGACCACAGTCTGTTTGGGTTGGACCGCTACACAGGACAGATCAGGACACTTCGCTCGTTCACAGAGACAGACGAGGCCGAGCACAAACTCGTCATACTGGTCAAAGACAATGGCAACGTGTCCCTGTCAGCTACAGCTACTGTGCTCGTGAAAGTGGTGGAGCCCAGAGAGGCTTTTGCAGCTTCTGACGTTAAGAGCTCCTCTAAAGACTCTGAGGACACTAACGTGACTTTTTACCTGATGATAACTCTGGCCTCGGTCTCAGCTCTGTGTTCATTCTCAGTATCATTGTGCTGATTGCAATGCAGTGCTCCAAGTCCAGCACTGACTACACCTCCAAGTACTTACAGGACACAAACTATGACGGGACTCTGTGCCACAGCATCCAGTACAGATCTGGAGACAACAAGCGCTACATGTTAGTTGGACCCAGAATGAGCGTAGGATCCACTATAGTCCCAGGGAGCCAAGCCAACACACTGGTGCTGCCTGCCTGACAGGAGGAGGCCCTCTGAGGAGGTAAGACACACATACACTAACCTTATTTTTATTATTATTTTATTTCTTAAACTATTTTTAAGATTTTTTCATTCAAATTTCATCCGCCGGCCTGTTTTAAAGGCCCTTTATAATTTGCTCTGACAGAAATGTCCTTAACTATGTCTTATTTCAATGCTTTTTAAATAGTTAATATTTTCCATGTTTGCTCTTTGCTGAAGTAAAACATTGTATTATTTGTATTAGTTTTAATCACAATGAGGCAGTAGTTTGAGTTGAAAATCATAAAAACATTTACTAAATGAACATTCATCAACAATGTTACTTGCTGTGTAGTCGTAATTTGGATCAAACAATGTTACTTGCTGTAAGTTGTTTTCATTTTCTTAAAAATCTATCCATTTACCCACCAAGAATGCAAAATGTTAAAACGCTACATGTTTGTCTCACCACTAAAGGTCGTAGCCAGTAATAGGGTGATAAAGGATATGTTAAAACCAACTGTGTTGTGCAAGATTTAGCATGATTAAGATCAGACGCTGTCCATGGTCCTAACGACACAAAGGCTCGTGTAAAGGCTGCTACACCTTATACCTTTAGAAACACAAACCCATGAGGTATTTTTGGCTCGTCCATGAATTTTAACCGATCACTATCGAAGCCCTCTGTATATGGATTACCACGTGGGGGCACTGTTGTATCAAATCCAGCTCTGCTATGTCCCTCCCAACAAAAAACCTTTTGTTCAAATCGGTGCATCATTCACTACGAACAGATGCACTGTCTCAAGTAAGTGTGTTGTTTTCATTAGTGCACTTGTTACTGTCAGTTAAGTCAACAGTAGACATGGACATAATGTCGACAGCAAGAATCTGCTCGTGGGTCACTTTGTGCTTGACTCTGTTGACGCTTTTTGGACGCAGTACTTTGGCTCAGATCAGATACTCTGTTCCGGAGGAGGTCAAAGACGGGACTGTTGTTGGAAATGTTGCAAAGGATCTTGGTCTTGATGTTTCCTCGTTGGGTGAGAGACGGTTCCGTATTTCTGACACAAATAACGCTATATTTGCTGTAAACTCTGATAATGGCGCTTTGTACGTCCACGGGCGCATTGACAGAGAGCAGCTGTGTCAGGGCAGCGGTACGTGTCTGATGGAGCTGAAGGTTCTGGTGGAAAACCCTTTGGAAGTTCACTATGTTGTTGTAGAAATCACCGATGTAAACGACCACGCGCCCACCTTTCCCAAAACAAATGAAACTATAGAAATATGGGAACATACCTTGGCTGGAAATCGATTTCAGCTACATCCTGCTCGTGATCCCGATGCAGGAATTAACTCCATTCGCACGTACACTTTATCTGCAAATGAACATTTTGACGTGAATGTTCGTGAGAGTGATTTGAGTAAAACTCCGTTTTTGGTTTTAAAGAAACCTTTAGATCGAGAACAAAGCAAGACACATTATCTGCTCCTTACCGCTGTTGATGGAGGTAAACCCAGAAGATCAGGGACACTAAATGTTACAATTATTGTTCTAGACATTAATGATAATAGACCAGTTTTTACACAAGAGGTTTATGAAATTTCACTTCGAGAAAATGTTGAAATAGGAACTGTAGTAATAACTCTCACTGCAACTGATGCTGACGATGGGATTAATGGGGAAATTGAGTATAGTCTGAGAGAATCGCTGATTCAAGGTGTAAAAAACGTATTTCAAATGGATAAAATTAGCGGACAAATAACAACAAAACAGCAAATTAATTTCGAAGAAACAGACCAATATGAATTAGACGTAGAGGCTTCAGATAAAGGCACGCCCCCATTAAAAGGTGAATGTAGAGTTATTATAAAAATCATAGATGTAAATGATAATTCTCCAGAAATAGACGTGACTTCTCTGTCAAACACAGTGTCTGAAGACTCCAAACCAGGGACAATTGTATCACTAATCAGTGTAACAGACAAAGACTCTGGTGTCAATGGTAAAATCATCGCTCACATAACAAACAACGTGCCTTTTGAACTCAAACCCTCGTATAAAGAAAACACATATTCAGTTGTCACTAAGGATTTCCTGGACAGGGAGGAGGTGTCACATTATGACATAACTATAAAAGCCACTGACTGTGGGGAGCCTCCTTTATCCACCACTAAAACTCTGAGTATTCAGATATTAGATGTAAACGACAACAGTCCACAGTTTGAACAAAATCCTCTGTACTTTTATATTGTAGAAAATAACGTGGCAGGGACGTCACTGTTCTCTGTAACTGCATCATCAGACAAAGACAAGAATGAAAACGCAGATATTTCCTACAGCATTGCGCGTGCAGGACAGGAGAAGGACGTGACGCTCTTTTTAAACGTGAACGCGGGAAAATGGTCAAATCACTGCTCTGAAAAGCTTTGACTTTGAGACATTAAAGTCTTTCCAGTTTCAAGTCGTGGCCTCAGACTCTGGGACTCCGTCACTGAGCAGCAACGCGACAGTGCACGTGTTCATCCTGGATCAGAACGACAACGCTCCAGTCATTCTGTATCCAGTCAGGTCTAATGGTTCTGCTGAAGGAGTGGAGGAGATCCCCCGCAATGTGAACGCGGGACACTTGGTGACTAAAGTCAGGGCCTATGACTCTGATATCGGATATAACGGCTGGCTGCTGTTTTCACTGCAGGAAGTGACTGACCACAGTCTGTTTGGGTTGGACCGCTACACAGGACAGATCAGGACACTTCGCTCGTTCACAGAGACAGACGAGGCCGAGCACAAACTCGTCATACTGGTCAAAGACAATGGCAACGTGTCCCTGTCAGCTACAGCTACTGTGCTCGTGAAAGTGGTGGAGCCCAGAGAGGCTTTTGCAGCTTCTGACGTTAAGAGCTCCTCTAAAGACTCTGAGGACACTAACGTGACTTTTTACCTGATGATAACTCTGGCCTCGGTCTCAGCTCTGTTCATTCTCAGTATCATTGTGCTGATTGCAATGCAGTGCTCCAAGTCCAGCACTGACTACACCTCCAAGTACTTACAGGACACAAACTATGACGGGACTCTGTGCCACAGCATCCAGTACAGATCTGGAGACAAGCGCTACATGTTAGTTGGACCCAGAATGAGCGTAGGATCCACTATAGTCCCAGGGAGCCAAGCCAACACACTGGTGCTGCCTGACAGGAGGAGGCCCTCTGAGGAGGTAAGATGACAAAGTAACGACTCTTGGTTTTTAACACATTAAAAAGTTTAAAAATATGAATAATCATTTATATTTTAGTATGGTGAACATGTTTGTAGTTGCGTCACTGTCCATTCTAATAATAAAAAGTACATGCTCTTTGCATCCTCAAGTTTAATATTTTACATATTATTCACTGTATACTTAGGGATAACCCCTAATAACTGGTGGAGAAGGAAAAAAGAAGGTATTCAAAATCAGTGATCTCAAGAGGTCAGAATTTGTTTTCCCAAGTCAAATCGTCTGCAGTATTAAGTGGATAGAGTGGGTACTGATGTGTTTAGTTATGGTGCTTTTCTGCAGTGCAGTTAACATACTATTGTTGTCTATGGCACCGACCTATTAAATGTTAAATTACATTTTCCCCCATAAAGTTATGTCCCAAATAACATTTCTTTATTGCGATTACATTTTGAAATACAGTTTTTAGTTTTAAACCATCCTAACTTTTGAATCAAATGTGTAAGTATTAAAAAGAAACAAACGAAACCTGTAAAAAGCACATTATTTTTGTCTACATTTCTTTATGGAATTGTTACGCGTGCGTTTGATCGTAAATCTAACCGCTGTCCGTGGTGCTCAAATATTTACCTTTTTTTTTTTAAGACTTTATATTTGAAATGGGGTTTGTTTTCACAGTCTCTTCCTCTTGCCATTGTGTATCACAGAATACCTGGCTTCTCTCATATCAGGGGAAGAAGCTGACTTCAAATTTTGCAGTGTGAAAATATTTTGACAGCGATTATTCAGTGTATTTTTTGGACAGCGCGGACTTAAGTTCATAGCTAATAAAGCGTAGACTCTACTGGAGAAGACACCGTTCTAGGCAACACACTAAGGCAGCCATAACAGCCCCTGCAAAAAGAAGGTTTTTGTTTAAAATCCAGTTCTCACGTGTGATATCAGTGAACAATGCATAGTCTGTTTCAAAGATACTACAGTACACGGTAAGTGGATAAATGGTTAATGGATTCTCTGTTTCATCTGGACATGTATGCTCTGTTTCACCACATGGTGACACTATTTCACATGACTTTTCCAGCGCCACATCGTCCTCTTTTTTTCAAATCCTTTTGTTTCAGTTTGACTTGAGTGTACATAGTGGTCGTTTGTCCAGAACGGTACTTTGGATTATTTGGAGTTTGAGGGGTTTCAAAAACTATCATCACAGATAAATGGATTTGTGGACAGTGGTGGAGATGAAGAAGCCATTTGTTCAAAGAAAATATTCGTGGATTACTTTGAGTTTGGCTGGTCTGCTGTTTTTTGGGCAGTGCGCTTTGGCTCAGATCAGATATTCTGTTCCGGAGGAGGTGAAGGACGGGACTGTTGTTGGAAATGTTGCAAAGGATCTTGGTCTTGATGTTGCATCGTTGGGTGAGAGACGGATTCCGTGTTGTTTCTAAAACAAAATGACGCTATTTTTGCTGTAAACTCTGATAATGGCGCTTTGTACGTCCACGGGCGCATTGACAGAGAGCAGCTGTGTCAGGGCAGCGGTACGTGTCTGATGGAGCTGAAGGTTCTGGTGGAAAACCCTTTGGAAGTTCACTATGTGGTTGTAGAAATTACTGATGTAAATGACCACTCGCCAAGATTTCCTAAAACAAATCAAACGTTTGAAATTGGAGAGCTCACTTTGCCAGGGAAAAGACTTCAGCTACACCCTGCCCACGATCCCGACGCGGGAACAAATGCGATCCGCACGTACACGTTGTCTGCAAATGAGTATTTTGAGATTAATATTCGACAAAGTGACTTGGGTAAAATACCGTTTCTGGTGTTAAAGAAACCTTTAGACCGGGAACAGAGCAGCACACACTCTCTGCTCCTTACAGCGGTTGATGGGGGGAAACCACAGAAATCCGGGACACTGAATATTACCATAATTGTTCTGGACAGTAATGACAATAGACCAGTTTTTACTCAAGAGGTTTTTCACATCACAGTGAAAGAAAATTTGGAGAAAGGAAATGTAATATTTAAGTTAAACGCAACAGATGCGGATGAGGGAATAAATGGAGAAATTGAATACAGCCTCGGGGAAACATTGAGCCACGATATTTATAAAACATTTGAATTAAACAGATTAACAGGAGAAATTGTCACTAGAGGCCCAATAGACTTTGAAGAAACTGATCATTATGAATTAGACGTAGAGGCTTCAGATAAAGGCACACCTCCATTAACAGGCGAATGTAGAGTTATTATAAACATCATAGATGTAAATGATAATTCTCCAGAAATAGACGTGACTTCTCTGTCAAACACAGTGTCTGAAGACTCCAAACCAGGGACAGTTGTATCACTAATCAGTGTAACAGACAAAGACTCTGGTGTCAATGGTAAAATCATCGCTCACATAACAAACAACGTGCCTTTTGAACTCAAACCCTCGTATAAAGAAAACACATATTCAGTTGTCACTAAGGATTTCCTGGACAGGGAGGAGGTGTCACATTATGACATAACTATAAAAGCCACTGACTGTGGGGAGCCTCCTTTATCCACCACTAAAACTCTGAGTATTCAGATATTAGATGTAAACGACAACAGTCCACAGTTTGAACAAAATCCTCTGTACTTTTATATTGTAGAAAAAATAACGTGGCAGGGACGTCACTGTTCTCTGTAACTGCATCAGACAAAGACAAGAATGAAAACGCAGATATTTCCTACAGCATTGCGCGTGCAGGACAGGAGAAGGACGTGACGCTCTTTTTAAACGTGAACGCGGAAAATGGTCAAATCACTGCTCTGAAAAGCTTTGACTTTGAGACATTTAAAGTCTTTCCAGTTTCAAGTCGTGGCCTCAGACTCTGGGACTCCGTCACTGAGCAGCAACGCGACAGTGCACGTGTTCATCCTGGATCAGAACGACAACGCTCCAGTCATTCTGTATCCAGTCAGGTCTAATGGTTCTGCTGAAGGAGTGGAGGAGATCCCCCGCAATGTGAACGCGGGACACTTGGTGACTAAAGTCAGGGCCTATGACTCTGATATCGGATATAACGGCTGGCTGCTGTTTTCACTGCAGGAAGTGACTGACCACAGTCTGTTTGGGTTGGACCGCTACACAGGACAGATCAGGACACTTCGCTCGTTCACAGAGACAGACGAGGCCGAGCACAAACTCGTCATACTGGTCAAAGACAATGGCAACGTGTCCCTGTCAGCTACAGCTACTGTGCTCGTGAAAGTGGTGGAGCCCAGAGAGGCTTTTGCAGCTTCTGACGTTAAGAGCTCCTCTAAAGACTCTGAGGACACTAACGTGACTTTTTACCTGATGATAACTCTGGCCTCGGTCTCAGCTCTGTTCATTCTCAGTATCATTGTGCTGATTGCAATGCAGTGCTCCAAGTCCAGCACTGACTACACCTCCAAGTACTTACAGGACACAAACTATGACGGGACTCTGTGCCACAGCATCCAGTACAGATCTGGAGACAAGCGCTACATGTTAGTTGGACCCAGAATGAGCGTAGGATCCACTATAGTCCCAGGGAGCCAAGCCAACACACTGGTGCTGCCTGACAGGAGGAGGCCCTCTGAAGGAGGTAAGATGACAAANGCAGTGCTCCAAGTCCAGCACTGACTACACCTCCAAGTACTTACAGGACACAAACTATGACGGGACTCTGTGCCACAGCATCCAGTACAGATCTGGAGACAAGCGCTACATGTTAGTTGGACCCAGAATGAGCGTAGGATCCACTATAGTCCCAGGGAGCCAAGCCAACACACTGGTGCTGCCTGACAGGAGGAGGCCCTCTGAAGAGGTAAAGCATAAACAAACCAATCTGATTTAATCTTTGTTTGTATCTTTTTTTTTATTTTTATCTTGAAAGCTCATACGCACTCCACTCACAGGCAGTTTTGCTTAGTCTACTTATAAACTGACATAAATGTCACATGGCAAAGCTCTAAACATTGAACGTTTGACCTTTGTTTGAGTAGAAATTACTAATTGAAAATTTGGCAGTATGGCTTCATTGCATCCAGAGACATCAACTTGAGAAAACATACAGTCAAAAGAGCATTAATAATACTTTATAATGGCAATGTGTGTGTATGTGTTTGTACAAATTTTCGCTGGTGTAGCATTTCATGTTTTATGAATGCTTGGCGACAACATTCCTGCTCAACAGTGTTACTTACCGCGTGGTTGTAATTTGTCTAAACTAAACCTTTTCAATATCCCAGCAAATATACAATTGTTAAAATGCTACATATTTGTCTCCTCACTAAGGCAGATGATAATAATATGGGGGTAAAGGATAAGGAAAAACAATTCTTTTCTGCCTAATTTTCCCCTCAGACAGATCGGTCGCTGTCCAAGGTGCTAAGGACACAGACGATTGTGTAAAGGTTGCTCAAAGATATAATGACTATTAAAACATATGTCTACATGGTCTTTGACTCTCATTCATAAATATCACACAGGCAAGGCAGCACGCATCACTGTCCAAATCATCTGTATACGAATAAAATCATATCTTTAACCACGTGGAGGCACTGTTGCATCAAAACCGTTTTTGCTATGTCCCTCCCCAAAGGAAAAAAACAAACAAAAAAAAACCTTTGGACCTTTGTTCCAATCTGTACATCATTCCCTAGGAACAAATGCGCACTCTGCAGTAAGTGTCTTACTTTCAGACAAATGTCTTATAATGTCATTAGCATAGAAGGAATTAAGTCAACAGTAGGCATGGACATAATGTCGAAATCAAGAATCTGCTCGTGGGTCACTTTGTGCTTGACTCTAATGATGCTTTTTGGACGCAGTACTTTGGCTCAGATCAGATACTCGATTCCGGAGGAGGTGAAAGACGGGACTGTTGTTGGAAACGTCGCAAAGGATCTTGGTCTTGATGTTGCATCGTTAGTTGAGAGACGGTTCCGTGTTGTTTCTGAAACGAATGGAGATACATTTGCTGTAAACGCTGATAATGGCGCTTTGTACGTCCACGGGCGCATTGACAGAGAGCAGCTGTGTCAGGGCAGCGGTACGTGTCTGATGGAGCTGAAGGTTCTGGTGGAAAACCCTTTGGAAGTTCACTATGTTGTTGTAGAAATCACGGATGTAAACGACCACGCGCCCACCTTTCCCAAAAGAAATGAAACCATAGAAATAGCGGAACATACTTTACCAGGAAAACGATTTCAAGCTACATCCTGCTCGTGATCCCGATGCAGGAATTAACTCCATTCGCACGTACACTTTATCTGCAAATGAACATTTTGACGTGAATGTTCGTGAGAGTGATTTGAGTAAAACTCCGTTTTTGGTTTTAAAGAAACCTTTAGATCGAGAACAAAGCAAGACACATTATCTGCTCCTTACCGCTGTTGATGGAGGTAAACCCAGAAGATCAGGGACACTAAATGTTACAATTATTGTTCTAGACAGTAATGATAATAGACCAGTTTTTACACAAGAGGTTTATGAAATTTCACTTCGAGAAAAATGTTGAAATAGGAACTGTAGTAATAACTCTCACTGCAACTGATGCTGACGATGGGATTAATGGGGAAATTGAATATAGTCTGAGAGAATCGCTGATTCAAGAGGTAAAAAACGTATTTCAAATGGATAAAATTAGCGGAGCAAATTACAACAAACCAATTAATCAATTTCGAAGAAACAGACCAATATGAATTAGACGTAGAGGCTTCAGATAAAGGCACGCCCCCGTTGACTGGCGAATGTAGAGTTATTATAAAAATCATAGATGTAAATGATAATTCTCCAGAAATAGACGTGACTTCTCTGTCAAACACAGTGTCTGAAGACTCCAAACCAGGGACAGTAGTTTCTCTCATTCGCGTCAAAGACAAAGACTCTGGTGTCAATGGTAAAATCATCGCTCACATAACAAACAACGTGCCTTTTGAACTCAAACCCTCGTATAAAGAAAACACATATTCAGTTGTCACTAAGGATTTCCTGGACAGGGAGGAGGTGTCACATTATGACATAACTATAAAAGCCACTGACTGTGGGGAGCCTCCTTTATCCACCACTAAAACTCTGAGTATTCAGATATTAGATGTAAACGACAACAGTCCACAGTTTGAACAAAATCCTCTGTACTTTTATATTGTAGAAAATAACGTGGCAGGGACGTCACTGTTCTCTGTAACTGCATCAGACAAAGACAAGAATGAAAACGCAGATATTTCCTACAGCATTGCGCGTGCAGGACAGGAGAAGGACGTGACGCTCTTTTTAAACGTGAACGCGGAAAATGGTCAAATCACTGCTCTGAAAAGCTTTGACTTTGAGACATTAAAGTCTTTCCAGTTTCAAGTCGTGGCCTCAGACTCTGGGACTCCGTCACTGAGCAGCAACGCGACAGTGCACGTGTTCATCCTGGATCAGAACGACAACGCTCCAGTCATTCTGTATCCAGTCAGGTCTAATGGTTCTGCTGAAGGAGTGGAGGAGATCCCCCGCAATGTGAACGCGGGACACTTGGTGACTAAAGTCAGGGCCTATGACTCTGATATCGGATATAACGGCTGGCTGCTGTTTTCACTGCAGGAAGTGACTGACCACAGTCTGTTTGGGTTGGACCGCTACACAGGACAGATCAGGACACTTCGCTCGTTCACAGAGACAGACGAGGCCGAGCACAAACTCGTCATACTGGTCAAAGACAATGGCAACGTGTCCCTGTCAGCTACAGCTACTGTGCTCGTGAAAGTGGTGGAGCCCAGAGAGGCTTTTGCAGCTTCTGACGTTAAGAGCTCCTCTAAAGACTCTGAGGACACTAACGTGACTTTTTACCTGATGATAACTCTGGCCTCGGTCTCAGCTCTGTTCATTCTCAGTATCATTGTGCTGATTGCAATGCAGTGCTCCAAGTCCAGCACTGACTACACCTCCAAGTACTTACAGGACACAAACTATGACGGGACTCTGTGCCACAGCATCCAGTACAGATCTGGAGACAAGCGCTACATGTTAGTTGGACCCAGAATGAGCGTAGGATCCACTATAGTCCCAGGGAGCCAAGCCAACACACTGGTGCTGCCTGACAGGAGGAGGCCCTCTGAGGAGGTAAGATGACAAAGTAACGACTCTTGGTTTTAACACATTAAAAAGTTTAAAAATATGAATAATCATTTATATTTTAGTATGGTGAACATGTTTGTAGTTGCGTCACTGTCCATTCTAATAATAAAAAGTACATGCTCTTTGCATCCTCAAGTTTAATATTTTACATATTATTCACTGTATACTTAGGGATAACCCCTAATAACTGGTGGAGAAGGAAAAAAGAAGGTATTCAAAATCAGTGATCTCAAGAGGTCAGATTTTGTTTTCCCAAGTCAAATCGTCTGCAGTATTAAGTGGATAGAGTGGGTACTGATGTGTTTAGTTATGGTGCTTTTCTGCAGTGCAGTTAACATACTATTGTTGTCTATGGCACCGACCTATTAAATGTTAAATTACATTTTCCCCCATAAAGTTATGTCCCAAATAACATTTCTTTATTGCGATTACATTTTGAAATACAGTTTTTAGTTTTAAACCATCCTAACTTTTGAATCAAATGTGTAAGTATTAAAAAGAAACAAACGAAACCTGTAAAAAGCACATTATTTTGTCTACATTTCTTTATGGAATTGTTATGCGTGCGTTTGATCGTAAATCTAACCGCTGTCCGTGGTGCTCAAATATTTACCTTTTTTTTTAAGACTTTATATTTGAAATGGGGTTTGTTTCACAGTCTCTTCCTCTTGCCATTGTGTATCACAGAATACCTGGCTTCTCTCATATCAGGGGAAGAAGCTGACTTCAAATTTTGCAGTGTGAAAATATTTTGACAGCGATTATTCAGTGTATTTTTTGGACAGCGCGGACTTAAGTTCATAGCTAATAAAGCGTAGACTCTACTGGAGAAGACACCGTTCTAGGCAACACACTAAGGACAGCCATAACAGCCCCTGCAAAAAGAAGGTTTTTGTTTAAAATCCAGTTCTCACGTGTGATATCAGTGAACAATGCATAGTCTGTTTCAAAGATACTACAGTACACGGTAAGTGGATAAATGGTTAATGGATTCTCTGTTTCATCTGGACATGTATGCTCTGTTTCACCACATGGTGACACTATTTCACATGACTTTTCCAGCGCCACATCGTCCCTCTTTTTTCAAATCCTTTTGTTTCAGTTTGACTTGAGTGTACATAGTGGTCGTTTGTCCAGAACGGTACTTTGGATTATTTGGAGTTTGAGGGGTTTCAAAAACTATCATCACAGATAAATGGATTTGTGGACAATGGTGGAGATGAAGAAGCCATTTGTTCAAAGAAAATATTCGTGGATTACTTTGAGTTTGGCTGGTCTGCTGTTTTTTTGGGCAGTGCGCTTTGGCTCAGATCAGATATTCTGTTCCGGAGGAGGTGAAGGACGGGACTGTTGTTGGAAATGTTGCAAAGGATCTTGGTCTTGATGTTGCATCGTTGGGTGAGAGACGGTTCCGTGTTGTTTCTAAAACAAATGACGCTATTTTTGCTGTAAACGCTGATAATGGCGCTTTGTACGTCCACGGGCGCATTGACAGAGAGCAGCTGTGTCAGGGCAGCGGTACGTGTCTGATGGAGCTGAAGGTTCTGGTGGAAAACCCTTTGGAAGTTCACTATGTGGTTGTAGAAATTACTGATGTAAATGACCACTCGCCAAGATTTCCTAAAACAAATCAAACGTTTGAAATTGGAGAGCTCACTTTGCCAGGGAAAAGACTTCAGCTACACCCTGCCCACGATCCCGACGCAGGAACAAATTCGATCCGCACGTACACGTTGTCTGCAAATGAGTATTTTGAGATTAATATTCGACAAAGTGACTTGGGTAAAATACCGTTTCTGGTGTTAAAGAAACCTTTAGACCGGGAACAGAGCAGCACACACTCTCTGCTCCTTACAGCGGTTGATGGGGGCAAACCACAGAAATCCGGGACACTGAATATTACCATAATTGTTCTGGACAGTAATGACAATAGACCAGTTTTTACTCAAGAGGTTTTTCACATCACAGTGAAAGAAAATTTGGAGAAAGGAAATGTAATATTTAAGTTAAACGCAACAGATGCGGATGAGGGAATAAATGGAGAAATTGAATACAGCCTCGGGGAAACATTGAGCCAATATGTTTATAAAACATTTGAATTAAACAGATTAACAGGAGAAATTGTCACTAGAGGCCCAATAGACTTTGAAGAAACTGATCATTATGAATTAGACGTAGAGGCTTCAGATAAAGGCACACCTCCATTAACAGGCGAATGTAGAGTTATTATAAACATCATAGATGTAAATGATAATTCTCCAGAAATAGACGTGACTTCTCTGTCAAACACAGTGGCTGAAGACTCCAAACCAGGGACAGTTGTATCACTAATCAGTGTAACAGACAAAGACTCTGGTGTCAATGGTAAAATCATCGCTCACATAACAAACAACGTGCCTTTTGAACTCAAACCCTCGTATAAAGAAAACACATATTCAGTTGTCACTAAGGATTTCCTGGACAGGGAGGAGGTGTCACATTATGACATAACTATAAAAGCCACTGACTGTGGGGAGCCTCCTTTATCCACCACTAAAACTCTGAGTATTCAGATATTAGATGTAAACGACAACAGTCCACAGTTTGAACAAAATCCTCTGTACTTTTATATTGTAGAAAATAACGTGGCAGGGACGTCACTGTTCTCTGTAACTGCATCAGACAAAGACAAGAATGAAAACGCAGATATTTCCTACAGCATTGCGCGTGCAGGACAGGAGAAGGACGTGACGCTCTTTTTAAACGTGAACGCGGAAAATGGTCAAATCACTGCTCTGAAAAGCTTTGACTTTGAGACATTAAAGTCTTTCCAGTTTCAAGTCGTGGCCTCAGACTCTGGGACTCCGTCACTGAGCAGCAACGCGACAGTGCACGTGTTCATCCTGGATCAGAACGACAACGCTCCAGTCATTCTGTATCCAGTCAGGTCTAATGGTTCTGCTGAAGGAGTGGAGGAGATCCCCCGCAATGTGAACGCGGGACACTTGGTGACTAAAGTCAGGGCCTATGACTCTGATATCGGATATAACGGCTGGCTGCTGTTTTCACTGCAGGAAGTGACTGACCACAGTCTGTTTGGGTTGGACCGCTACACAGGACAGATCAGGACACTTCGCTCGTTCACAGAGACAGACGAGGCCGAGCACAAACTCGTCATACTGGTCAAAGACAATGGCAACGTGTCCCTGTCAGCTACAGCTACTGTGCTCGTGAAAGTGGTGGAGCCCAGAGAGGCTTTTGCAGCTTCTGACGTTAAGAGCTCCTCTAAAGACTCTGAGGACACTAACGTGACTTTTTACCTGATGATAACTCTGGCCTCGGTCTCAGCTCTGTTCATTCTCAGTATCATTGTGCTGATTGCAATGCAGTGCTCCAAGTCCAGCACTGACTACACCTCCAAGTACTTACAGGACACAAACTATGACGGGACTCTGTGCCACAGCATCCAGTACAGATCTGGAGACAAGCGCTACATGTTAGTTGGACCCAGAATGAGCGTAGGATCCACTATAGTCCCAGGGAGCCAAGCCAACACACTGGTGCTGCCTGACAGGAGGAGGCCCTCTGAGGAGGTAAGATGACAAAGTAACATATTTTGTTTTGAAATCCTTACAATATTAAATAATATAACGTATTCATCATATTGGTTAACACTGGGTCATAGCAGCCTCAGTTTCTACAATTTAATATTTTACCGTGTTGCACAGAAATTGCTTATGTATATATTTAGTGGGAAATCTTGATCAAAAGTCAAAGTTAGCCCTCTAAATAAGTGCGATCACTCGGTCTCCTCACAAATCACATCGTCTCTCGTCTTAAGTAGATCGAGTCATTGAGTTACTGACCAAATCGGATGAAAATGACAACAGCATCACACCTGAATAATGTTTTCAAACCTTTTGAAATTAACTTATACTACAGGCAGACTGTAAACTCTTTTTGTTTGGGTATTAGTCGTCTTTTATTCTAAATGACAATGCTTTTTATTTGTCATTGGAGAAATTTCATCATTCTGTTGTCCTTTTCTGTGTTTCGCTGCTTGTTATTACTTGGTTGGCCTTATATTAGGGAAAGGGAAGGTGTATTCTGGTGTTTTAGTGTGGAGGTCTTTGGACACTTAAGTGGTATAATGGAGTGCTGGATTAATCAGTGTGTGTTGTGGATGCCTCGAGCCAATTTGAGGAACATAGTATTTTATATTATATTTGTTCTTTTTTGTGTAATTTGTGTCATGTTTAAATAACCAGCTAACGCGTCATACAGCACTAGTCATTGACAGAGAAACGCTTGCACAACATAAATAAATTAATGAATTTCCTCTGTCCAGTTGAAATGGGTTTCAAATGTTGTTTATTCAGCGATAATTAACATGCGATAAATGGCAAATATTCATCGTAGTGTTTCCCGAATACTTTTTAATGCATTAATTGATTTATTGCTTGAGCTTCAGACTGTGGGTCGGTGCAGAACCAATGAAAAGCGCATGGTGTCAGTGTGCGCACAGGCATCACGACACCCGATCCTCTGTATTCAGACCGCCCCTTAACAGAATCTTACCTTTTGCTGCTGGAGTCTGGTTTGAAGCGAATGATTTCTCTTTTTAAAACCATAAAGTAATAGGCCGACAAAACTCAGACCCTCATTTCCGTTTCCTACTTTAACTTCAGCTGGTTTACTGAGGCAGTCTCGCAAGCTTTTATTATTTATTTTTTAACGAATTTGAAGATGCTGATGATTATGGAACAAAGAGCGTCTAACGCACAAAGGACGGGGCTGCTGCTGACCACGTTCGTGTATTTGACCCTCTCGTGGAGCGGCGCATTTGCGCAAATACGATATGCGATATTGGAAGAAGTCAAGGAAGGTACAGTTGTGGGGAATGTCGCCAAAGACCTGGGATTAGACAAAGGGACATTAAAAGACAGAAAATACCGGATTGTGACTGATGCTAAAGACCCACATTTCCGTGTAAATCCAGATGACGGCACCCTCTACGTGAGCCGAAAGGTAGACCGCGAAGAAGTCTGTGACGGGAGCAACACATGTGTATTAAATCTTAAAACTGTGCTGGAGAATCCTCTCGAAATTCACTATGTTTCTGTGGAAATATTGGACGTAAATGATAATACCCCGAGCTTTCAATGGAGCGATAAAACGATAGATATTTTCGAGTCTGTTACAAGCGGGAAAAGCTTCCTATTACAACCTGCGCGAGACCCCGACAGTGGAGTTTTTTCTGTACAAGAATACAAATTAAACCCCAACGATCATTTCCGTTTAGAAGTAAAGGATAAGGGAAAAGAAGGGAAAACACCAATTCTAATATTACAGAAGCAATTAGACCGTGAGAAAGCACGTAGACATTCTTTAGTGCTGACAGCTTTAGATGGAGGAAAACCGCCTAAATCTGGTCAGATAAATATTATAATAAATGTTTTAGATGTCAACGACAACGCACCCAGTTTTACTAAAGACTCTTACTCTGTGACGCTGACTGAAAACGCCCCGGTTGGCACAACAGTGATACAAATGAATGCAACTGATTCAGACGACGGTGTAAACGGAGATGTGGTATATAGAATTAGTGACAATGTCATGCAAGAAATATTTGAAACATTTGAAATAATTACATCAACGGGTGAAATAATTGTTAAAGGAGAAATAGATTTTGAACAAAATGATGAATATGAAATTGAAATTGAAGCATCAGACAAAGGCCTTCCCCCACTAACTTCAGAAAAACAATTAATAATAAAAATAGTAGACGTGAATGATAATGCGCCTGAGATTGAAGTCACCTCGTTTTCCAGCTCCATTCCTGAAGACTCTAGGCCCGGGACTACTGTGGCTCTGATCAGTGTTAATGACAGAGACTCTGGTCTGAACGGGAAAGTGACATGTACAATAGAAGGAGATGTTCCCTTTACACTGTCTCCTTCCCTACAGGACAAAATGTTTTCACTCGTGACTAAATCCGCTCTGGACAGAGAGACACAGTCACAGTATGTACTGTCCATAGTGGCCACAGATCACGGCCAGCCCTCACTTAAATCTGAAAAGAATATTTTAATTGTAATTTCAGATGTGAACGACAACAGCCCAGAGTTTGTCCTTAAACCTTATAGTTTTTATATCACTGAGGGCAATGAAGCAGGAGCACAGTTGTTTTCAGTTCAAGCTAATGATGAAGATGAAGGTGAAAATGCTCATATTTCTTATCATATTTACAGAGATGGAAGTGCAGAACATAAAGTGACTTCATTTCTTAATATTAATAGTGAAAATGGCCAAATCACTGCTCTGAAAAGCTTTGACTTTGAGACATTAAAGTCTTTCCAGTTTCAAGTCGTGGCCTCAGACTCTGGGACTCCGTCACTGAGCAGCAACGCGACAGTGCACGTGTTCATCCTGGATCAGAACGACAACGCTCCAGTCATTCTGTATCCAGTCAGGTCTAATGGTTCTGCTGAAGGAGTGGAGGAGATCCCCCGCAATGTGAACGCGGGACACTTGGTGACTAAAGTCAGGGCCTATGACTCTGATATCGGATATAACGGCTGGCTGCTGTTTTCACTGCAGGAAGTGACTGACCACAGTCTGTTTGGGTTGGACCGCTACACAGGACAGATCAGGACACTTCGCTCGTTCACAGAGACAGACGAGGCCGAGCACAAACTCGTCATACTGGTCAAAGACAATGGCAACGTGTCCCTGTCAGCTACAGCTACTGTGCTCGTGAAAGTGGTGGAGCCCAGAGAGGCTTTTGCAGCTTCTGACGTTAAGAGCTCCTCTAAAGACTCTGAGGACACTAACGTGACTTTTTACCTGATGATAACTCTGGCCTCGGTCTCAGCTCTGTTCATTCTCAGTATCATTGTGCTGATTGCAATGCAGTGCTCCAAGTCCAGCACTGACTACACCTCCAAGTACTTACAGGACACAAACTATGACGGGACTCTGTGCCACAGCATCCAGTACAGATCTGGAGACAAGCGCTACATGTTAGTTGGACCCAGAATGAGCGTAGGATCCACTATAGTCCCAGGGAGCCAAGCCAACACACTGGTGCTGCCTGACAGGAGGAGGCCCTCTGAGGAGGTAAGACATACATACACTAACCTCAGTTTTATTATTATTTTATTTCTTAAACAATTTTTAAGATCATTCAAATTTCATCCGCCGGCCAGTTGTCCTTAGGCCCTTTATAAACTGACAGAAATGTCCTAAACTATGTCTCTGCTTTTAAATAGTGAAAGAATGTTTTCCGTGTTTGCTCTTTGCTGAAGTAGAAACATCTGGTTGTATTATTTAGCAATGAGGCTGTAGTTTGGCGAGCAGTAAAAACACTTCATAATGGCAGTGCATATGTATTTCTGAAAATCATCACACTATACCAACTATTATGTTTGTAGAATCCGAACGTGACGGGATTGCAGATCAACAATGTTACTTGCTGTGTAGTCGTAATTTTCATTAAACTCTTAAATCTATCCATTTACCCACCAAGAATGCAAATGTTAAAACGCTACATGTTTGTCTCACCACTAAAGATCGTAGCCAGTAATAGGGTGATAAAGGATATGTTAAAACCAACTGTGTTGTGCAAGATTTAGCATGATTAAGATCAGACGCTGTCCATGGTCCTAACGACACAAAGGCTCGTGTAAAGGCTGCTACACCTTATACCTTTAGAAACACAAACCCATGAGGTATTTTTGGCTCGTCCATGAATTTTACCGATCACTATCGAAGCCCTCTGTATATGGATTACCACGTGGGGGCACTGTTGTATCAAATCCAGCTCTGCTATGTCCCTCCCAACAAAAAACCTTTTGTTCAAATCGGTGCATCATTCACTACGAACAGATGCACTGTCTCAAGTAAGTGTGTTGTTTTCAATTAGTGCACTTGTTACTGTCAGTTAAGTCAACAGTAGACATGGACATAATGTCGACAGCAAGAATCTGCTCGTGGGTCACTTTGTGCTTGACTCTGTTGACGCTTTTTGGACGCAGTACTTTGGCTCAGATCAGATACTCTGTTCCGGAGGAGGTCAAAGACGGGACTGTTGTTGGAAATGTTGCAAAGGATCTTGGTCTTGATGTTTCCTCGTTGGGTGAGAGACGGTTCCGTATTTCTGACACAAATAACGCTATATTTGCTGTAAACGCTGATAATGGCGCTTTGTACGTCCACGGGCGCATTGACAGAGAGCAGCTGTGTCAGGGCAGCGGTACGTGTCTGATGGAGCTGAAGGTTCTGGTGGAAAACCCTTTGGAAGTTCACTATGTGGTTGTAGAAATCACGGATGTAAACGACCACGCGCCCACCTTTCCCAAAAGAAATGAAACTATAGAAATAGCGGAACATACACTGGCTGGAAATCGATTTCAGCTACATCCTGCTCGTGATCCCGATGCAGGAATTAACTCCATTCGCACGTACACTTTATCTGCAAATGAACATTTTGACGTGAATGTTCGTGAGAGTGATTTGAGTAAAACTCCGTTTTTGGTTTTAAAGAAACCTTTAGATCGAGAACAAAGCAAGACACATTATCTGCTCCTTACCGCTGTTGATG